GGGGGCTGTGGCTCCCAGCCAGCCCCGCACCAGCCCTTTCCCGCCCCACCCGCCCCATGTCTCCGGGAGCTGCAGGTGGCTTCTGCTGGTCTGGCCAAGGGGAGGTGGGAAAAGCCAGCTTCTGTATCCCAGCGCCTCCCTCTGGTCTGGAGATACCATCTTCTCAGTGACAAAATGCCGGTGTGGAGGCATGGTTTCAGAGGTAGAGCGCCCAAGGTGAGCAAGCAAAACACGGCTGCTCAAGACTCTTGAGTTCAAACCCCAGAAGAACCTAGTGTGTAATTACAATGTAACTTGGAATTCCACCTTGATGTCTAGGCTTTTTTTTCTGGTCCTGGGGCTTGAACTCAGGGTCTGGGCTCTGCCCCTGAGCCTCTCTGTGCTCGAGGCTAGCGCTCTACCACTTGAGCCATAGCACCACTTACAGCTTTTTCTGCGTCTGAGGTACTGAGGAACCGAACTCGGGGCTTCATGCATGCAAGGCGAGCACTCTACCACTGAGCTGCGTTCCCAGCCTTGGGGGTCTATCTTTAAAAGGAGCGAAAGCAAGCCAGAGGTCTGCAAGCTGGGGCGAAGCCTGTAACCCCAGCTCTAGCTGACACAAAGAGGTTGGTGAGTTTAACGGGTACACTGGCACCTCACGCCTGTACTCCTGGCTACTCTGGAGGCTGAGATCTGAGGATTATTGTTTAAGGCTAGTACAGGCAGGAAAGTATAGGAGACTCTTCTCTCCTAATCTCCAATTCAACACACACACACACACACACACACACACACACACACACACACACACCAGAAGTAAAGCTGTGGCTCAGGGACAGCACTCAGGCCCTCAGTTCAAGCCCCAGGACCAGCACAGAAAAAGAAAGATAAAAATAAAGAAAGGAGGGAAAGAGAAAGGGAAGAAAGGAAAGAAGGAAGGAAGGAAAGAGAGAGGGAAGGAAGGAAGGAAGGGGTAACACTGTTCTTCCTAGGCCGGTGGTCCTGGCCTCTATCTCCAGCTACAGAGAAAGACTTAGTTAAGATGGTCCATTTTCTGTTTACAAACCATAAGATCCCTTACTGCCATAAAAGAAAATGCTACGGAACAAAAAATTTAAGAAGTTATTAGGGTGAGAATGGGAGGGAAAAATGGGAGTGAGGGAGGGGTGACACTGTTCAAAAGAAACGCATTCTTCTGAGGACTTACGTGACTGTGACCCTCTGTGCATCACCTTTATAATAACAGTAAAAAAATTAAAATAGTGGAGTCCCTCCCTTTTCCCGGGGCTGGGGAGCTCTGGGTGAGTGTAGACACCCCCACTCCCTACCCCCTCCTCTGCCCTTCTGCATTAAAGTGAGAAAACTCTTACAGAGTCTGAAGGAGGACTTGAACTTGGAACTTTTCTTCTTTTTTTGTCAGTCATGGGTCTTGAACTCAGGGCCTGGGCGCTGTCCCTGCGCTCTTCAGCTCAAGGCGAGTGCTCTACCCCTTGAGCCACAGCGCCACTTCCGGTTTTCTGCTGGTTTATTGGAGAGAAGAGTCTCATGGTCTCTCCTGCCTGGGCTGGCTTTGAACCGCGATCCTCAGATCTCAGCCTCGGGAGTCGCTGGGATGGCAGGCGGGAGCCACCGGCGCCTGCCTCATTTTTTTTTTTTTGAACCAGGTTGACACGGGACCTGGCCCCAGGCTGAGCTTGCCCTCACACCCTGAGGACTAACGCCCTGTTTCTGCGCTTCAGGTTTTTATTATGATTACTATTGAGCCAACTAAGTGCTTCACCTCTGAGCCGGCTGTAGGAGAAATCGCTCACCCTGGTTGAGGAGGGGAGGCTCCCAGGTCCGGATGACCTTGGGACAGCTCAGGTCATTCCAGGTCTCAGTCTCACCCCTGACTCCCCTCGCTGGGGTGCGGGTGATTTTCCATGGAGTCTCCCACAGGCTTGGTTTATTTTACGGAGGCTGAGTCTGCCCTGTGCCGAATCACTCCCCCTGGACTTCGCCTCTTTCCTTGGGCCAGGCTCTGTCTTCCAAGGCTGACAAGGGCTGGATTTGAACCCAAAGCAGGCAGTGTCCAGAGTTTCTGCATGCCTTCCTTGCACCCCAGGTTGGACTCCCTGCGTGTGGAGGGCAGCGGGGCTCAGGGCCCGAGCTAAGCATCGATGTGTCTAGGTCACATCCCCCGCTCCATCTCTCCCAGGCCCCCGGGAGGCTAGGCGCTGCTGTGCAGAGCCCTGCGCAAGCCCTGCTCAGCCAGTGGCTGTTTGTCTACCAGCACTGGGGATGGCACAGGGGTTAAGGGCTGCAGAGAGGCCATGTGCAGCTGGGGGGCACCCACCCAGGCACCCTGAAAGGCTGCTAGGGGGGGCAGACCTGAAAGGGCAGAAGCCAGGGACAGAAAGAGCCACAGGACAGTCCTGAGTGGCTGGCTGTGGGGTGTGGGAGCGGAGGCTGCTGCGGGCAGGGGAGGGGCCCAGCGGCTCCTCCCTGTCACGGGTGGCAGAGCAGAGGTCAGAGCCAAGGTCATTGGAGCGCCCAGACCCCAACTCCTGCAGCCAGGCCACTCCTTTCATCACAAAAGGCACCGCGGGGCTGGGAACGGCTCGCTCGCTCCGTGGGAGAGTGCTGGCTGGCCTAGCACGCACGAAGCCCGGGCTTCCATTCCTCAGCGCCACATGCACAGAACAAGCCAGAAGAGGCGCTGCGGCTCCGGAGGTGGAGCTCAGGGACAGCGCCCTGAGTTCAAGCCCCAGGACCAGCAAAGCAAAACACAAAACAGCACCTGTGTACAGGGTGCGACGTCCAGAGCTCCAGAGGCTGGGAGAGAACCTGGGGATCCCCAAATTGAGAGACGGGAGATGTAAAGGAATGTGTCAAGGGGGCAGCTCTGTACCCCTGGGAGGGGCTTCGGGTACCCTGGTGGGAGGGGCTTCCTCACCCTGGTGGGAGGGGCTTCCTCACCCTGGTGGGAGGGGCTTCGGGTACCCTGGTGGGAGGGGCTTCCTCAGCCTGGTGGGAGGGGCTTCCTCAGCCTGGTGGGAGGGGCTTCCTCAGCCTGGTGGGAGGGGCTTCGGGTAGCCTGATGGGAGGGGCTTCCTGCAGCCTGGTGGGAGGGGCTTCCTCAGCCTGGTGGGAGGGGCTTCCTGCAGCCTGGTGGGAGGGGCTTCCTCGCCTCGGTGGGAGGGGCTTCCTGTAGCCTGGTGGGAGGGGCTTCCTGCAGCCTGGTGGGAGGGGCTTCTTGGCACCGGGTCGCAGACCCGTCCTCGCTGTCAGGTGCATTGCATCTGTGAGCTGTCTCTTAGTTCCTCTGTGAGCCAGGGAGGCCCACCAAGGACACGCGGTGCCCTGTGGGCCTCCAGGTCCCCCTTCGTGCTCCGCAGTGCTGAGGCCTCAGGCCCGGGGGCTGGGGGGACACTGGGGTCCGTGCTGGGGACGGTAGTGGGCGGGTGGATCCGAGGCCTCCGCGGCCGGCCTGGCGGAGCCCGCACCCAGGCCCGGAGGCCTGGGCAGCCCGCCTGCCAACCCCCGCCCCAGGCCATCGTCTGAGCTCTGAGTTGGGATTTGGGTGCGGTGGGGGTCTCTCAGCCCGGCCAGGCTCTGCTAGGTTGGAGGCCCCCTGTCCCAGCGCTTGGACATCCGGGCCACGAGTCCGAGGTGTGTGTGTGTGTGGGGGGGGGTGAGCCCTGGGCCCCGGGCCGGCCGTCCTGGCTGGGGGTGCACGGGGCTGCGCCCCCCTCGGCACCCCTCACCCCCATCGGCTCTCCACCTGGAAGGAGGGGTTCTCCCCTGCGCCCCACGCCCGCGGGACCAGCCGA